ACTCATTATATTCCCTGCTATTCAAAAACCACCCATCTAAACATATTCTATTTAACTGATTCACTTCTAGTCTGCAGGAAATGCTAAGGCAGTCAGCACTTTACATCTTAGTATGAATTACGTACTAATTGTGATCAGAAGCACTTAGAAATGACAATGGTAGGGGTAATAATGGGCAAAGGGGGAGGGCAGGATGGGGGGGAGAACTAACAGAGAGGAGAGAAGACTTAATAATGATATATGGGGCACACATTTTAAATCATGACGTAGCAGTACCTGAGTTAAGATTTAATAAGACTCCATCAATCTAACTTCTTATTCAAAAAGTATTTGTTGATTTCAAGCAAACTGAATTAAAGAGAGGAAGAAAGGAAAAGGGAAGACAAAGGAGAAGAAATAAATACACATTATAAGTGGCTTTCTATTGAGGTAAAAAGTAGATCAGAGTAGTCATTCTTCCCTCACAAGCTTTTCCAGCACCCTCAGCATCTCTCAGACTTTTCTACTCTTGGGGACCAAGTATTATCTATGAATGTCAAAGACTTCTGCATAACAAGACTTATATAGTTAAATGTTTAATATATACTACAGGAGGTATCATGAACGATATCTTTTTTTTTTCACTTATTTTAGGATCTAGGAAGAATAATAAGCAAAAAGGGGGGTGGGAGGGAAATTGCATATCCAAAGACCTGGTCTAATCTATTCAAATTCTGTATCTTGAAATTGTCTATTCTGAAGCTCTGTCTTAATGACCTAGGGCTATCTATCTTCAGTTACCATTTTCTGTAAACCTCAAGGACAGTTTGACTCAGGGGTTGGGTCCACCCAAGGTAGAATATAAGTAGCTAGCTAGATCCCAGCCAGGGATCAGCTTCAACTAATTAGGTAGTATTAAAACCTCAGTTTGACTTACTTCTCTGCCTTTTTCACACTTGCCATTTTCCTGGTTTTTGACTGCCTAGTTAACCAATGGACCTCTGACCCCTACTACTCATCTGATTTTCATATGAACATAGATTTAGAGCTGGAAGAGACTGTAGATGCCATGTCCTTCTATTTCAATCTCTAAAGTCACAATTGAAGAAACTGGGGTCTAGAGAAAAATAACTTGTCTTCTGGTTACAAAGTGCCATGCCATCATCTTTTCCCCTTCCCCTTACCTCAACAGGAATATTTCAATCTGGGAACTGGACTTGATAACTTCTATACATCTTGGCTAAGACTAACCCCCAACACCATCATCAAAATCTAACTAACCCCAACTTTTATTTGTCCCTTATCCCAACTAACAGTAAACTGAGTTTATCAGAAGAGTAATGACTCTTAGTAGGATGGGACACACTAAACAATAACTAACATATATGGTTTTAGGGTTTACAAATCATTTGATATGCAGTATGTCATTCGATTTTCTCAGCAACACTATGAGCTAAAGACTATAAGCATTATCACTCCCATTTTTAAAATGAGAACACTCATGACTAAACAGCTAAATGACTGCTTGAGGACTATCTTGTCTTGTTTCTCTCTTACACACACACACAGAGCTATTTAAATGTCAGAGGTAGGATTCAAACCCTTTTGACTCCAAGTCCTATACTCTATATCTGCAGTTCCCATAAGGATTTCATGCTCAAAATCCTTTTTCAAAAAAAGCAAATTTATTATTTATTTTGTTAAAAAATTTGAGCTCCAAATTCTTTCCCTCCTCACACTCCTCCACCCATTGAGAAGACAAAATGTGAAATAGTGCAAAACATATTTCTATATTAGCCATCTTGCAAAAAAAAAGAAAGAAAGAAAGAAAAAGAAACTGAAAAAAATTATGCTTCAATCTGTACTCAGATTCCACCATAAGGCCTTTGGAACTGCCTTGGATCACTGTATTGATCAGAATAGCTAAGTCATTCATAGTTGATCACTGTTATAATATTGCTGTTACTCTGTAAGATGTTCGCCTGGTTATGTTTACTTCATTTTGCATCAGTTCATATTAAGTCTTCTCAGGTTTTTCTATAACCATCCTGCTCATAACTTTTATAGCACAACACTATTCCATCACAATCATATACCATCACTTGTTCAGCCATTTCTCAATAGATGAGCATCCCCCTTCCGATTCTTTGCCACCACAAAAAGAGTTTCTACAAATATTTTTGTACATATAGGTCTTTGTCTTTTTTTTTTAATCTATTTGAGATACAGACCTGGTAGTAATATTGCTAGATAAAAGGGTATGTACAGTTTTATAGCCCTTTGGGCATAGTTCCAAATTGTTCTCCAGATAGTTGGAGCAGTTCACAACTCCACTAGCATTGCATTATTGTCCCAATTTTCTCTCAATCCCTCTAGCATTTGTCATTTTCCTTTTTTGTCATGTTAGCCAATCTGACAGGCATGAGATTTTAATTTGCACTTCTCTAATCAATAATGATTTAGAGTATTTTTTCATATGACTATAGTTAGCTTTGATTTCATCATCTGAAAACTATTTGTTTATATCCTTTGACCATTTATCGATTGCTAGATTTATTATTAAATTTACTTATTTAATTTAAACCTTAATAAGTAAATAATTATCTAATTATGTTACACACATGCACACATACACACACACTCCCCAAGCCACCAGTGGTTTCACAACACATTTTATTCTGTTACAGTTTAAAGGGAGTTAAGGGGGAAAAAATGTTGGGAATCACTGCACCATGTTGCTTCATTTGACCAAACTAAATGTATACTGACACAGATCAAAACCTACAGCAAAAAGTTTTGACCCATACTATTTAAATTACAGTTTATCAGTGGAACCTCTTACTAATAGGACCAAAAGAATCATGATGAAAGCAAGCTTCTACTGCTTGCAACACATTTTAAAAATGCCTAAGCATGGTACAGACCAGTGGTTCTCAAACTTTTTGGACTCAGGACTCTTTTAAATCTCTTTAAAATTAGTGAGGACCCTCTCCAAAATAATTTGCTTTGGGGGGGTTTGATATTTATTAACATTTCCTGCATTAGAAATTATAATATTTTATAAAAAGTCTTGAGGATTCCCTGGGGATCCCCAGACCAAATTTTGACAACCACTGGCAAAGACCTGAAGCACCTCCTTCTCTTTGAAAATGCTTGCTCAAGGGGCAGCTAGGTGGCACAGTGGATAGAGCACCAGCCCTGAAGTCAGGAGGACCTGAGTTCAAATCCGGCCTCTGACCAAACACTTGACAGTTACTAGCCGTGTGACTGTGGGCAAGTCACTTAACCCCAAATGCCTTAAAAAAAAAAGAAAGAAAAGAAAATGCTTGCTCAAAAAAAAAGTTTTTAATGAACAATATTAGGACTCCCATATTAGCATGAAAAATATTTACATTTTTCAGAGATTACAAAATCCCTAATTTTCAAACATGTTTAAGCTAGCATGGCACAATGAAGATTTCTATTTTAAATTGACCACAAAGCAGAATAGAAATTGGATTAAATCAGAGTTCTTTCAAGTTAAAAAAATGTTTTTACAAGTTTAATTTTTATTATGTTTACTATTTTCATATGTAGAAAGTTTTCTTAAAAGAACATATCTTCTAAAAACTAATTTTTAAAAATTCTCTTGCTACATCAACATTTCTTATACATTCACTTTAAAACTCACTAATTCCATACAAAATGACCAATATTTCCAAATCTTACATTGTAAAAATTCAGAAATAATGCTGACAGGACATAAATCCACTTTTCTCATTACCAAGCCTTAACCACACAACCATCACATTTTGTTTTACAGAACCCAACAAGTACTTCAGATGAGCACGCAAAGCTATTAAATTGAACATATTTTATGGATGATGGACCCTTAATGTACTAAGAATTAAGTTAATATTATTTTTTCATGTCAATTTAAAAAGAGATAAAACCAAATTATTTTATTAGTTACATCAATTTAGGACACTATGAAAAATAACACTTTCCCCCATGACTCCAACATCCTAAGAGACTTTTCTAAGATAACTCCACATTTGAACAATAATGTCAAAATGAAGAAAATTATTAACCATGCTAGTCATATATAAGCATCCAAGTACTCTATGGTAAAAAACTGATTCCATAGATTTGCCAACTAATAAGAAAGAAACAAGCAAGTCTGGTTAAAATGAAGAATTACAATGGATTTCTACTAGACATTGATTTCACTTTTTTCACCCAACACGTTCTAACTATAGAAGATACACTTGCAGTTGGGTTCATATATACCTCAAAGATACACACTATGGTGGCTGATGTTTGTAAGATGAAAAGATAGACCCTAAATCATTAACACAAATTATACTCAAATCCTATTTGTTCTTTAGTTTTTCAAGGCAGACTTGTGACTACACAGCTCTTCACTTCCTGATACTTCTAAACATACTGATTAAAGCAAACTGAATATTTGTGTTACCTTTTAAATATTCCCTCTATTCAACTGGACAAAGCTGTAAAAATCCCTGAATCTATGTCTGAATTGGAGGCATAAAAACAATAGATAAGGAAAGAAATATGTCTTTAAAGGAACACATACAAATATTTTTAATGATTTGAAAATTTTACAAATTCTGAAGAGGGTGATGGGAATTGTGATGCCCTCCTGAACAATGTCTTTTCTTAGCTATAATAACTGAAATAAGCATTAAAGACATTGACAAACCCTCAATACAGGGAAATCTATAATTCTATGTAAAGGAATTTACCATCAATGTTCCCTGAGCATCTAACGTGTTTGTGATCAGCCCAATGCTAGGTATGAAAGAGAAAGCAGAAAGCCCATGCTGTCACCAAGTCTTAACACTGATGCTTAGAAAGTCTTAAGCATTTCCTCTAAGACAGGCAAAATAACTCTAAAAATACAAAGGGACAAGCATAATCCACTTAGACACATAATACATCAGTATTATGAATTTATTAGTTACACTGCAAACTTACAAGTAAACGGTTAGTGTTAGGGGACCACACACAAATTACAATACCTGAGATTTAGTGCATTCCTTTGAGCCAAAATGAAATGAGTGCCATAAAGGAGGAAAGGAAAAGATGAATATTATCAGACATGCTATAGTACATTTGCCAAAAATGACGATAATGTTAAAATTAGGTTAAGAATGGCCCTAGATCACCACCTCCCCATCAGCTGACTGTATGTATAAATGTTCTATGCATAATGTAACATATATGCCATGCAATAGCAATGAACTCAGAATTAAAGTATTTGTGGGACATGATCATGCAATTCATTTTGATAAACTTCTCTCTCTTCTTTTCTCACTGCTAGCCAACTTTCTTAAAGGAAACAGGGTACTTCTTAAATGTAACACATATTGGCCCATTTCTAAGAAAGACTGAGCATCTTCAGCTTCTTATTTACACTATATGGTAGCACTCTACAGATAAAGTATTTTGTTTTTCTTAATGCTGAGATTTGTTTAATTTGGGTGAAATAAGAGCCAAGTAACGTTTAGCTAACAACGAACTTACACAGAGTGGAGGTGTAAATATAATGTAACAGTAAGTTTCAATCCATTGCTTTAACATGAACATGTTTATAATTGTTTCCACCAATAGCTCATTTCATACTTCAAACAACAAGAACCAACACATCACACATTTGTAATCATTTCATATTTTTATAACCCTGTAAACAAACATATCTATTGACTGAATTGGTCTTTAAAACACTGTTTTCAAAGACGTGTGTCTTAGGAAGCACAATAAAAAATGTCAACTATTATTTGCCAGCCTAGGAACAAGGAGTGAGGCTCCCTCCCAAAAAGACAATATTTCTAACAAGAAAAAGTGGGGTGGGAGGGAGTGGCAAAATATTGGCCTTGCAATAACTAAGCAGACCAAATTAAGAGAAATCTTTTTTTTTTCCAAAAAAAGGAAATAAAATTCCATTTTGAAAACAGAATCATAAAATTTGAAGTTTAGAGATAGAAAAATCCTTTGGAGATTATTCCTATTCCTTCATTTTACAGTTGTGGACATTGAAGCCCCGAGGTTACCTGACTTGCCCACGGACAAAATGTAAGTAAATGAGAGACCCAGGACTTGAACCCTGATCCTCTGGCTTCTAATCTAGCACTTTTTCATTGCAAAGATATACATAATCTCATTGAATCACTCCCACAACTGTGATATCAAGGCATATTTAGGAAAGCAATTCGAAAGTATTCATTCTATATGTATCTACTTACAGTTATGTTGTCTATCCCATCAGAATCTAAGTTCCTTGAGGGCAAGGATTGTTTTGTTTTTTTTCTCCTATCACTTAGCATAGGGCCTGGCATCAAGTAAACACTTACTTGATTGATTGAATGACACATGTTGGACTTTTAGGAAAAGGAAATTTTTTTATGATAATGACATTTTACACAAGTTCCAGAACATGATCATGGTGTACAGACTTCCTATGGTCTTTATGCTAGATTGGCAGTGAATACATCATTTTCTCTTTGCCAGAGAATTGACAACAAAAAACCTTTCATAGATTTCTAATACCAACCCTCCCAATCAAACAAAGCTGACTTTGTGGTGAATAAAAAGAAATTCTATCCAAAAGAGCAAAATAAAATGACTCAACTATGAAATTTATGCTAAATTAAGAGTAGGTGGAGGGAGAGCTGATGGTCAGGACTGTACTTAGGATGAAAATTTGAAGGAGATTTCTATTTGATAAACAAAATACATGAAGTATTGGTATAAAATAATATATCTACGCCTCTTAACAAAAACTCCAGGAATTAATGTGACAAATCAATGTCAAGACTTTAAGTCTCATTTAAAGTTACACTCATCCACAGGAATAGGGAAAAGGTCATGAATGCAATAAGTAGGGGAATGATAAAAAGTAAGTCAAGCATGACCTTCCTTATATATATATAAACGCATACATGTATTTATTTATTTATTTCAAAAGAACTAAAAGGCAACTGTATTTAAGAAACAAAGGTTATTTAGTTAATGGTATTTTATATGACATTTTAGTTAATAATAGACTCACAGAAAAGTGAATGGAGGAGTAATAAAATAACCAAAAATGAGGACATCAAGAGACCCAGATTCTGCCGCTGACTAAATTATGTTCTTGGGCAAAACACTGAATTTCTTTGTGGCTCAGTTTCTTCATAAGTAGACTTAGAAACTATTTTATGTCATCTTGGGGTTTGGTCTATCAGGACATGTCCCCACTAGTTTAAGAAAGGGATACTTTTCATATTATCTTAAACCTTTATTTTTATTCTAACAAGAGCCAAATATTCTTTTTGAACAAAATTGGAGACAAAGATATTGTACAGTGATGAATCATTTTCATAAACATATTTTGTAAGTAAAAAGTATGTATGACAACTCACTTTATTAAGGCATTCAATAACAGCAATAACTAGGAAAAAATTCCACTGCAATCTATATCCAGTGAGCAGCAAAAAAGGCAAAGTTCATTTTTTTAAAAGCTCTTTCCAAAATGAAAGCCATCTTACTAAAATTAGGGCAAACCAATATCCTGCATTTCAAGTTTATAGATTCATTGATCCTTCCACAAAGCAAAAATCAACCTCACAGATTTACACAGCATTACCAACACTACCACATTTAAAATGTATCTATTAAACATGAATTTCCCCAACAATCCAAAAACCAAAACTCTATTTCTTTAAAAAAAAAAAAAAAAAAAAGAGAGAGAGAGAGAGAGATTTTAGTAGCTTACCGTATGATACCCTCTAGGTAAAGGTGGCTTTCCAACAGGATAAGGATCCACAGTGTCAATAATTGTTTGTCTTTCACCTTTCTGATTAATTTTTCTAAATCTCCTTCTAGACTGTCGATGAGAAGCTTGGCGCTGAAAATATTCTTCATTTTCATCCATATAGTCCACCTACAAGACAAATTGAAGACTTATATATTTTCCTAAAAACACACATCTGGGCCTTCTTCCATTGATAAAACCTATGCATCATATTCAGTTTCAATAGATGACCCATATTCCTTTGCTCTTAGCCATGTGTAGACATGTTTTCTAGACAAACCTTCTGTGTACTGGGACTCCTCTGAAACTAAGTGCTTCTTCCTGATATTTAATTTATGAAGGGGCATTTTCAGTTCCACTTTGGAAAATGTGGTTAGCTATGAGCTTCCTGTGATTCCAAGGCCAAGAATAGTTTAAGTTGTCTTTGTACTGACATTATACGAGAAAGAGATCAGAGAACATATAGCAGCTTATTGACTAAGGGAACTGTTACTTTCTCTTAACTGAAGCACAGGAAGTTAATCTACCATGAGTCAATTGTAAAATCCCCTAAATCCCAAAATGACAGATTTAACAAATAGAATTTGGTAGATTATTCAGAGTTTCCTTTATAATCTAATGCATAACTTTATATATTTTTTTCTGTAATTACAGCTATTTATTTTTTCAAAGTTACTCTTCATTTAGAAAGACTAATGAATGAAGGAAATAACCTTAAAAAGCAAAATGGCTTGAAACTCTCTCTGCTTCTACAGTAAATATGTAAAAAGATGAATTGGCCTTTTTGGATACCCTATAGTTTAGAATACAAATTTACATTCCAAGACTTTTTCTCTTATACCTCAAAAACTTCTTCTAAGTCAAGAGAGGTAGGTATGGAATGCTACAGGGGATTTTAAAAAATTCTTTGGGGAATTTCAAAAATGACGCTATTAGGCCCCAAAATCCCCACTAAGAAGAGAGACTCTTTTTAAAGTCCTGCCACTGGAAACTACTGTGGCAGTGTCAACAACCTCTCTCTTAACCCCCTAGTAACATTTTCTCATTTACCAGAAAATCATAAGAAATTTTACAAGCAAGAGTTTTCTTCAACTTTAATCAAACCTTGTAATGAACAAGATCCCATTACTACAGAAATTCCTCTCTAATACCAGGGGATGGAACCCTAAATCCCCCTGAAGAAACCTGCCCAGAGCTAGCAAACAAAACACAGTGTGTAATGAAAACTTTGGGCAATCACCAATTTTAAAAGATTGTTGCTTCGTTTTAAAGTGGCAGCATGGGAAAATAGTATCATGAATTTGCCTGTGCCTCAGGTATCTGCTCTGCTCACCTGTACACTTTGATCCTGACTGAACAATCAAAGCAATATTACATTATTAACCACTTTTATAGAAAAAAAAACCATATACTTAAAGCATACTAAAATTCTACAAAGAAAAAAATGAAAAAAGTAATTTCTATTCATATTTCCAGTTAATTGTTTTCTGTTTTGTGTCATTTTTCTTTTAATCTTGCAAATTAGAATACTTCGGGGTACTTTGGCTCCTATAATCCAATGTATTATTTAAAAAGTCCCTTGATCTTCTTTAAATTAGAAATAGAAAAGAAAAAAGTCAAAGTTACTTACATCTAATATTTGCTCTCATGAGGTCTATTATGTTACTCACTTACAATTTCCACCTCTCATCTCAATCAGCATTTGGAGAGCTAAATACTGCAATTCAAAGATTCTTGGCAAATTTCAGTTAAAAGGCACACCAAGGTTTGACACACAAAGTTTAAGAAACAGCACACTTAGCAACTTGCCTTCTTGGTGCTTTAACTGAAGCTCCCAAATAAGGACAATTAACCAATTCCTCACAATCTTAAAAGGAAATAACCATTCACAAACACATTCAAAGTTACATAATATAAAGCACTATTAAGTCATTTTAAAAAAATTCTACTTGGAACAGGACAAACATTTTTTTTAAAACTATAGTTTATTAGAGGAATTTAGTGGGTTGGGAAAGAAAACACAGAGGAATATACTTACCACAATCATTTCAGAAGGTTCTAAAACAATGCATTCACAGCCACGCCTAAAGCTTCCTGCAGACCGCTTGCCAAAACTATGAAAGAAAAATATAGAATCAAAACAAATCCGGAGCTTCAAGGCATTCCTAATATATATTTATATCTAAAGAATCCAATGGAGTCAGGAGGCCCTGAGTTCAAATCTGACCTCAGACAAGAGATACTCACTAGTTGTGTGACCCTGGGCAAGTCATTTAACCTCGATTGCCTCAAAAAAAAAATCCCATGGATAAATAAAAGGAATAGGGAAAACAAATAAATAAATGCCTGCCTCCGAACAAGATTGATTTTTCATCAATACATGGAGAGCCTTGACATGAAAAGTTAAAGTTTTAATGCTTGCTAATATAAAATGCTTTCAGATTAAGTACTATGGACTTAGCAAAGTGACTGCAATATATTTAGCATTTAATAAATGCTTCATCTAATCTTTAATTAGCCTGAATACCACAAAGATAGCAGAAAAACAATTGTATGTGCTTTATTTTTGAGGTAATCTATAGATTTAATAGGGGCAGCTAGGTGGCGCAGTGAATAGAGCTAAGGGTCTGGAGTTAGGAAGACTCATCTTCATGAGTCCAAATCTAGCCTCAAGCACTTACTAGATGTGTGACCCTAGCTAGGCAAGTCACTTAACCCTGTCTGTCTCAGTTTCCTCATCTGTAAAATGAGCTGGAGAAGGAAATGGCAATGTTTGCCAAGAAAACCCCAAATGGGGTCATTGAGAGTCAAACACAACTGAACAACAACATAGATTTAAAGCCACTCAACCAAGTGGTATTTGAAAATAAACAAGCACCTCCAAAATATCAAACCACAAAACATCAGGCAATCGTATGAGACAAAATCTAAGTGTCCTGTTAAAATTCAATAATCCTTTTTAGATGATTACAATGTGCATGATTCTGCCAGATGAATGAGACACTATCCTCAGGACGCTTAAAGAAAAAATAAGGCAGAGGCAAAGAAGTATCATTTGAAGTTGAGTGTGAAAGTGAAAAAAAGCTTTCATCTCCCACCCAATGAACTGGCAAAAAATGTCAAAAGATGGAAATAATCAGTGATGATTGTGGATCAATGATTGTGGAAAGATGGGCATACTAATGTACTGCTGATGAGCTATGAACTGGTTTGACCATTCTGGAAAGTATTTCGTCAAGTACGCTAAGAAAGTGACAAAATTATCCATATCCTTTGACCCAGAGACCTCTCAACTACACCTATATCCTAAGGAGATCAGTGAAAAAGAGAAGATCTCCAAAGATCAAATGTTTATGGCACCAATTTTTGTAGTAGCAAGAAACTGGAAACAAAGTAGAAGTCCAATGATTAGAGATGGTTAAACCATGGTATATAGATATAATGAAATACTACTACGCTGTAAAAAATAAATACGGTAAACATAGAGAAGCATGAAATATATATACATATATATATATATATATATATGAATTGATGCAAAGTAAGCAGAACAGGCAAAGCAATATACACAATGATTACAACAATATAAGTGGAAAGAACAAGACAAATCGAAACTGAATGCTGTAAAATTAAAATGATCAAATTTGTGCCCAGAGAAGGGAAATGAGAAGGCCTCACTCCACCTTCTGTGCAGATATGGGAGACTGTGGATAGAAAATATAACATAAGGATGCTTCTTTAATTTGTTAAGTTTTGCTGAATGCTTTTTCTCCCTCTTTTTTTAACTTATTATTAGTTACAAGGGATGGAAGCTTTCTGGGAGGGTGAGAAGAAAAAGAAATGTAGGTGATATAAACACAAAAAAAGACATCAATAACATTTTAAAGCAAAACCAAAGTATGTATAGTTAAAAATGATAACAGAGGTAACTAACTATAGGAAAGGTGAGATTCATGATATGTTTTAGTTTGTCACCACAATGTACTTTGATGAATGCTATCTCATCAATGTGTATACTCTTCTTGTCCTGTTCAACTCTTTTTTTTTTCAATTATCTTCCCATAAATATACCAGAAGGGGAAACATTAATGAAGCTAATAGTCATAATTTTTTTTAGAACACTGAAAAACACTACCTTTGTCACAACAGGGATAGAGATTAGACCTATGATTTCAATGGAATAAGTGAACTCCCAGACAAGAAAATTCTATCAATATCAGTCAGTACTATTTCTGTAATTTAACCCTACACCCAAGGTCACAGAGCCAGTATATGCCAGAGGTGGGACTTGAACCCTGATTTTCTTGGCTTCCAGGTCAGATCTCTATCCACTACTCCATGATGACTTCTTTGTTCCAATACTAATGGTAAATGTATATATTATATACTAAAACTATACCCATTTTTTAATTTGAAAAATAAAATGATTTCCTTCTTTAAAATATTTCATTAGGCTAGGTAGATTATGGTTAATACTTACCAATTTGTTTAATAATAACAACAAGACACCCAGAAATAAACTCTCAAAAGATTAATGCTTACATCAACTAAAAAGTTTATTTTGAATTTGAATGATACTTCTAAATATTTCCAAGAAATGAAACTCTAAACTGGTTGCATTTCCCCTAAATTCTCCCTTACAAAAAATAGGATAGAACTAGATGTTACTGTAGGGGGTATATTACTCAATAACTTAAATAGCTTTTGCTTTAATGAAGTTGGTTATGTTTTACATCATATTATCAGAATGAGGGTAAGAATGATCTGTTCTGGAGCAGAAACTTTGCAACACAATTGGTACAGTGAGGTGAGAAAGAAAGAGAGAGAGAGAGGGAGAGAGGGAGAGAGGGAGACAGAGAGACAGAGAGACAGAGACAGAGACCTCCCATACACTTTCTCTACCCTCTTCCACCTCCATCCTTGAATGATGAAGGGGATTGCACATCTACTCATGATTGTCTAAAAGGAAACGTCAGTGGGTGGAGTCTGAAGCCCTGAAAATATGTTTCTTAAGTGCAGGTGCTATCACTTGATAAATGTTTGTTGAAATGCATTGGGGACCAAAGCAGAAGAAAGTGGTGGTGTGTTATAAACCTAACTTGCTCTCATTACTAGAGTATAACCTGACACGTGTATTAATGCTTCCACTCTCATCGACATACCTCAGTGGTATTCTTTGTAGTAAACATTATTTATAATAATTTTGTTTTTAAACAATTACAATACTAATAAAAAACCTAAACAACCAGTCATAAATAATGGGATAAAAAAGAATAATTCTCCCCTCCTCCAAAAAATTTCTAACTAGCTAATAGTGTAAGCTAGCAAAAAAAAAAATACTGATGATCTTCCACAGTTATTTTGAATATTTTAAAATTCTATCAGAATAAAATAAGTCCCCCACCCCTCAAAAAAAAGATTCTGGTCCAGGTTTAAAATGAAGCTTGTCTAAACTTTCGTACCTATTAGCAGTGGAACTGGACACATAAGTGGCCACTAAATTTCTTGCATGAAAACGGAAAGGGAGATGAAGAGAGGGAGACAGAAAAAAGAAAAAGGGAAGGAGGGAGAAAGGTAAGGAAGGAAGGAATTCTAATAAGTTTGTTTTCTCCATTTGTAGTTTACAACAAATTATGAGCATTACTCATGGGATTAAATTAAAAAAAAAATTCAAGGTATGAAAGTCAAATATATGCTCTTACATATGACTTGTATTTAAAGTCAAGGTATATGAAGCAAAAGATAAAAAACCAAAAATTCCTAAACATTTTTTGTGTTTAAAACACAAAAACACATTTTTTGTGTTAAAAACACCTTTATGGCAGGCTGTCTGGTTAAACTATACATCTCGTATCAGAACAATGCTTCTACATGCATAAAATAAAATATACAGGATTACAAAGAAAACCAATTATATTGAAATAATGTTATAAAAATATCTTTTTAAAAAGAGTTTGTAGGACACAGATTAAGAACCTCTGACATAAAAAGATGACATTTACAACTTTTTTTCTTCTTATGAAGTCTATCACATCTACTAGGAAGTACCATAGAAAATATTTCAATTTCTCACATTTGCTAGATTAACCCATTTGTATTGGAAGATCATAGTTCTAGAGTCTAGACCGAGAAGTAATTTTAGAAGTCATCTATTCCAACTTTCTAATTTTACAGACTAGGAAACTGGGGGCCAGAAAAGTAACTTGTCTAAGGTCACAGAGATAGTAAGTGACAGGAATTTGAATTAATTTCCTTTGACTCTAAGTTTAATGCTTCAAGTTTACTGCCTTTTTCACTGCATCATGTTGCCTCCCTCTCCTTCAGATCAATAACCAACAGAGTAAGCAACTAAACTAATAAATATCAACTCTTGACTGGAGACTAAAATCTCTGGTAAAATTGTGAAATGATGGCATGACAACTCAGACAGAACACATTGAACTATATCCACTTTCTAGGACAGAGGTGTCAAACTCACTGTAAGTTTGCAACACTCCTGAGTGAGGGATCCAACCAGATTAAAATGTAATTGGGAAATGCTGAATAAAATAAGTAAAAATATAATAAAGCATAGGTAAATATAATGTTAATTTGTAGCTTTCTAAGTCTCTGCATTTCTATTTGAGTTTGACACCACTGGTCCAGAAAGACAAGAAGACAAACCAAAAGGAGCAGAAAGCTAATCTCTAAATCCTGAAGTGCTCACTTGGCAACACCATCAGTGCCACCACACTCCGGTAAGTCTGCAATTGATTGGCAGCAGAACTCAATTCCACCACTTCTCTCAGAAAACCAAACTGCAGCCTCTTATATTGCTGAGACAGCAGTGCTCTGAGCTACAATAGTTAAAGATAAATAATCGAAGAACAGAAGAAACGTAAGCTGGATGCTGGACTGTGTGTGGATCTACCAAGTCTGACTGAAGTGAAAGGTCCAGCATTCAGCATTCCCCAGTTAGTCAGTTGGGGAAGAGACTGAATCAATGAAACATGAATTGCCCAGCACAGGAGAAGGCTGAGAGAACTCTGAGGTCCAGTCCCCAGAGAAACACAATTAAAAAAAAAAAGAATGAAGTCAGAAAGTAATGGGAATATTGAGGAAAAAGAATGAAATT